TCTAATCTCATAGTACAGGCAACGGAATTAATTTGGAGTCTTTTTGAAGCTCCTCACACTTGCTGTCTGTGATGATGCAACATTTATTAGTCTCCTACAGGTGCCCCAATTAAACATCTTCACTTATTTCAGTAATTCAATGCAAAACAGTTCAGCGTTTTCTGTGTAAGATGTAAATATTCCCTCTGAGTTCCACCGTGAAGTTCTGGCACTGACTCCATCCAGCGGTTATCACTCCACACAAAGTAGTGTAGAGCGATAACCGCTGGATGATGGAGTCCGTGCTCTAACTTCTACCCTTTACGGTTCAGTCTTGGTGTGTGTTTGACTGTTGGGAGAACTCTAGTTTGGTTATTGGTCCCTGATCCCAGGGGGACGCCGTCCTCTAACTGTAAAACGACTTGTGTTGTGCACGTGGTAGAAGCAGATTTTCTTATTTACATTAAATGACTAAACTCCATTAACTGGGCGCCTCCTGGGGACCAGTGACCTCATCGTGTCTGTGGCCCTTCGTCCAATGAGATGTGGTCCCCGTCTCAACCTCCTATCAGGCTGCAGGTCTGACGGGCTCATCGAAGGCGCTGTAGTACTTCTGCGAGCGCCACGTGCACCCGGGAAGAACCTATTCTATCCAAGACTTTTTCAGGGGAGGTGGTGCCCCCCCCCCCGTTGTAACGGTAGGAACACTCACCCACTTCCCTCGGCAGCCGCTGTGCTCCATCGCTTCAGTTTGCATCGGTCCATCATTTTACCCCAACATAAACATTCTTTTAATCTTTTTCAACAGTAAACTTAGTTAAATCATTTTACACTTGTGTATCAAACCGTTCTGCGTTTACATTCTTTAAGCAACTCTGAACAGAACGAACCAAATCACTACTTTTTACAACAATGAATTTGTATAATTGTTAAAAGGTTTATTCCTAATTGTAGCTCGTTACTGTTGAATATCTAAACGTTAATTGGTTGACCACACATGAAATTTCATAGGAAGTTAATACGTCTACATTTAAACAGCATTGATATTCACAATGAAGCGGTTTCATGTTTTCTCATGAAGCCGTGAGGAGGGAAGCAGACGGAAGGTGTTTGAACTTCTCTGGAGGCTTTGAGGCCTCACTTGAGACCAATGAATGAATCAAGGTCTTGGAATTTGACATATTTGTCATAAATACAGTGTTTGGAGTTGACTTGATGCATCTTATGGAAAGATTAAATGTATCCACCAAAGAGCTTTTTTGATGGCTGAACAATTAATAGAAAGTTAAGAAAATGTGATTTTTCTTACTAAAGTTAACTTCCTTTGATGAATAAAGTCCCTCTGCTGGAACAATCGGTCCTGACAAGATAAAGACTTACCGTATCTCTCAGGTCTTTTAGTACCAAGAACAAAAAGGTGGAATTTTTTCGGGATCGCAAATATTGTGTTAGGAGAGACGCGAGAAAATTCAAAACTTTGCTTTAATTCAATATTCATTGATATAAAAAACAATACAAAGTCCGTTCAGGATGAAAAGTGAGTTGATGCAGAAAGCTGCTGGGGGGGTTGGAGCCCAGAACCTTCTTGCTCTGAGGAGACAAAGCTAACCAAAAGGATATTTGTATTTTTACATTTGTATCATATTTCCCTCAGTTTGAATGTAACACTAAGATACCAAAACAATTTATTTTCCTTTGCACAATAAACACCGTAAACTGACTTCATCATAATGAAGAGGAAGAAGATTTAAGGTATATGTGTATTATGTATATGTATATTGTTACAAAAACACAACTGACATATTTTAGCCAGAAAAGATCAAAAACATATAGTATTTACAATTTCATTTAACAAACCAGACTTTGTTCCACTCTCAGAAATATGCTGACCATCCAATGTGAAAAGACTTTAAACAACACGTGTATTCGTCATTGATAATATAAGAAGTAATAAGTACGAGTAAAAGCTCTGCAGGCTGCGTGGAACTTTAAGTCAGAGTTTTATGACTTGTTTTCTATGATGTTTCGTGGAGACTTTGTGGAGAGCTGAAGCCTTTCATACCCTCCGGCCCCCAGAATGTTGGACTTCCCATCAAATGACGTCACAACATCTGGTGGGAAGGTCAGACGGTCCGGACGCCACGGCCGACGCGGCTCGGGGGCCCGAGTCCGACTCCTTGGCGTGAGGAGTTGGATGTGTGGCTGTTAACAGACAGTCCGTCTGTCCAATCAGAAGGGTCCGTCCTCTGCTATAAGCCCCTCCCCTTTCCGTAAGGAGTTCATTTCGTGGTGTTTTCCTATTTGCCGCTGTGCTTTGCGCCTCAGGGCCACCGTAGTTTGGCGCTCAGCACTGCAGAGCGCTAAGAGGAGGAGGAGGAGGAGGAGGAGGAGGAGAAAGGGGAGGAGGAAGAGGAGGAGGGAGGGCGGGGCTTGTGAGCATGTTGTGCAAAATTCTCATCATTTTATTCTCAAATATTGATGAAGAAAAAATGATGAGCCTTCAGCATTTGTTTACTGTTGTCGTTCATTGAAACTGAGCGCGTGTGCGAGCGAGAGATCTGCCGCCATCAGTTCATTTATTTATTTAGGTCATTTTGTGCAGGTAATATCTTTTAAAATATGTTTAAAATGAAATAAATGACCTATAAAAGTAGTTATGTCTGGTTGTATTACTTGTCCTGTTATTGACCCGCAACCAGATATTTGAATATGAGTGTTTTTTTAAGCGAATATTCGTCATTTGTGAGTATTTTTGACAGCCCCAGTAGACAATTACTATGAGGGTCTCTCGTCCGTACTGCGAGGGCTTTAAAAACTATTTGTTCAATAGTCGGAAAACAATGGAGTCATTTAACAAGTTCCTTTTTAATCCACATCCATATTGTCTGCGACTGATTACATAGTTGTGTGTTAGTTGTACAGTGTTTTACCTGCATTGATGAAGTAAACTAAACATGTCTAACCAGAACTGTCCATCATCTGTTCAATGCTTATGTTCGCGTTCCGTGTGCACGCTGCGGGACACCGTACTCAAGGTGTGCGTGCGTGGCGAAGTCGGTTGTTCCACAAAGCCCTTTATTCCATTCCTTCTTTACGGGTTTGTGAATGTTTTTATTATTCATTCCTGATGGAATGAATTCATCTTACATCTGGACACATCTGGCAGTTTTACTGTTAGCGAGGAGACACCCAAGTCTCTGGTCTCCGATCCGTGAGATGCTGTGTCTCTATCACTCGTCCCCCCAGGTAAGACTTGTGGGTGAGGAGTCAGCAGAGAGTCCATAGAGCAGGTAATAAAAGGTGTTCTGACAAAGCGTGAGAGGTCCTTCAGGAATCAGGAATCAGGAAACATTTATTTGCCAAAATATGTCAAACATACAAGGAATTTGTCTTGGTGGTTGGTGGGCGACAGTAGACAGACAAGACAACAGAGCCTGGTGGAGGATTTCTGCTGGTCAGCAGCAGAGTGTCCTTGAGCCACATCACACTTATTTATCGCAGGCGTTCTCACGGCTATCCTGTTTCATTTCATTCACATGTCTGAAGCCTTCAGCAATATTTCAGTTAGGACGTTGCCTCACCCTTTGTCCTCTTTTCCACAGGACCTGTACTTTCTGTTTCAGCTACAGATTATTCTTCAAACAAAAAAAACCCGATCAACAGAAAACTGTAATAAAATAAAGTGGAATTAAATGCTCAGCAAACGTAATTAACAACAAAAGCAACAAAAACAAAGCGCACCGTGGCGGCCATCAACGGCGCCATCTTGGTGAGCAAGATTCAGCCTGAGGAGATGTTAGTGGACAGACAACAAGGTTCACACTCACTCGCAAAAAACCACCACACATCACAGTTTGAAGAGAAGGCATCTTGGTGTAGATCTTAACTAAAGATCTACACCAGCTGTAGATACCGATTTCCCTGGTGCGTGTTTATGCTCCAACATGCTCTCCGTTGTTCTCTTCCACAACTTCTTCCAGCCGTGTTAACAGCTCTGCCGGTTCAAGCTTTTCCCTCCACAGAAACCTGGATTTACATTTCTCGATCATCTCTTTTAAGGGCGGATGTTGCAAACATCTTCTCATGAACGCTGAGCTCTGCTCTCTGGGTGTTGATAACAGAAGCAGTGAATGATCAAATGATCGGTCACTGTAGAGCTCAAGAAAACGGCAGAGCTTCTCTTTGTGTTTCTCCGTGAAGTCTTCAGGCTGTACAACCAGCAGGAACACATGAGGTCCAGGATCAGAGAGGCGCCTGCATGCTTCACACAGGCTGTGATTGGATGTCCAGGAAAGCAGCAGATCTGGAGTGTTGATCAGAACCACTTCTTTCTCCTTCAGCCATCCTCTTTGTATTATACAGTCCGGTTCTTCCTCAGACTTGAACTGATTGAAGTGAAGACACTCGGCCAGGATGAAGTTCCCCACTGAGCTCCTCTCAGACCAGCTGCTCCCCAGCAGAACGACCCTCAGCTCGGACACTGAGAAGAAGACGACGCTGTGTGAAGGTGGATCCAAGCGAACACTGTACTCACATCACGGCAAACATAAGTTACACTCACGGTTTGGTGGCAGCATTTCATAACTGCTGCTCCGCTTCTCAGGCCGAAGATCAGCAGCTTCTGAAGGAGCAATGATTTATTCACACGTTATCTTCAACTCGTTTTCATCTCTCAGTTCTATTGATGTTTTCTGAGGGTCTCATTAATCTCAGATGAAGCCGTCAATATGTGGCTGAAGTGATATGATAAAACCATCGCGTCACACCTTCAGGAACTACGGCCATTTTGACGCAGTCACAGATCCTCAATTCTGCTTTTCAATTAAGAGGAACGAGCTCGTCGGTACTGGATGTTGGAATTTACAGCAAACCCGTTCAAAAAACACTGGGACCGGGCCTTTCCTCTGAAGCACAGCACTCAGGTCAGCCCCCCGGGGGTTAACCCTAACCCTAACCCCTGACTGAGACCACCAGGGCAAGAAGAACTGAGATAACGCAGACGAGCTAAAGACTCTATGAAGAGACCAACAGCAGGTCGGCTGTGCTGATTACACAAAATAAAATAAACTGGCATGCGCTGATAAAAAGACAACCCTCAGTTCAATCACAAGAACATCTGAT